TTTAGATTTGTAGTAAGGAGTAAGATGGATTTGTTAAGACAGCTACTATGTTAATAAAATATTCAATTTGCAAAAAAAAAAGGATGGTCTTTTTGTACTCAACATGGTATAGTAAATATCATGTATGGGTGAAAGAAATACATCTCATAGTTGTAAAATGCCTTATAACCGACAAAGTACTTTTACAGTCATTATGTGATTTGACTATCACAAGCCCTGAGATATGGGACAGATCCTATGCCCACTTTGTAAAAGGAGAAATTGATGTTTTAAAAAATTGAGATTTTCCAGTTTAACATAGCAGATGGTAGAGCTGGGTTTAAAGATTTTATTTTTCCTTTTTCTCCCCAAAGCTCCCTGGTACATAGTTGTATATTTTTAGTTATGGGTCCTTCTAGTTGTGGCATGTGGGACGCTACCTCAGCGTGGCCTGACAAGTGGTGCTGTGTCGGCGCCTAGGATCCGAACGACTGAAACCCTGGGCGGCGGAAGCGGAGCCCGTGAACTTAACCGCTGAGCCACGGGGCCGGTCCCCAGAGCTGGGTTTAAATTTCAAACTTCTGATCTACCTGTATACAAATTCTGTACTTTGTTTTCTTGGTATTTGCTAAAGGATGCACAACCTGTATTACCCAGGAGGTGGCAGTGTTCTCTTAATAGCCATTGGGAATTCACTTTCCCATTGGAGACACTTGAAGTGAAAATCGTATTCTTTCAGCTAACTTTCTTGAGCATGAATTATGTTTAGGTGTCCAAGATAAAAAGATTAGTAAAGTTGGTGGCTGCTTCCTAGGAGCTCATGATTTGGGTACAAGAAATGGGACAGTCAGGCAGAGTTAAAAGCTTACCAAAGTTTGTGCAAAATGCTATGGGAGTGCAGTTTATAATGGACCTTTTGAGGTGGTACCTTTTTAATGTGATAATAGGAGTATAGTTTTATCTAGCGTAGAAAGGAGAGACACAAGTAAATGCAAGCTCTATGACTGCCTGATGACACAAAAGTAAGCAATAAGAGGAATGTAGTATATATTGTAAATATAAAGGAAAAAGCTCCTAGTTGTCCTAATGTGCCGTTCTGTCACTGTCAACACTATTTTCAGCATTTTTAATGAGTAATATCTTTTCAAATTAAATTTAGTATTGAGATGCTCCATTCCTTCAGTGAACAAATATTTCTTAATTTTAAATTAGCTGGGTGATTGTTAAATGCTAGGGATATGATAGTGTACACAAAACAGGCACAGTCCCTGTCCTCATCAAAATTATGTTTCTGGTAAAACCTGCTAGTGACTAGTGGCCTTATAAATAATGTATATTGATATTTTAGAAACTTTTTTTTTTTTGAGGAAGACTAGCCCTGAGCTAACATCTGCTGCCAGTCCTCCTCTTTTTGCTGAGGAAGACTGGCCCTGAGCTAACATCTGTGCCTGTCTTCCTCTGTTTTGTGTGGGATTCCTGCCACCTCATTGCTTGATAAGTGGTGCGCATGTTTGCATCTAGGATCCGGGGATCCAAACCGGCGAACCCAGGGGAACCAAAGTGGAGCTCACAAACTTAACTGCTGTGCCACCAGGCAGGCCCTTCCTTTATTACTTCTGACCCAAAAATGTACATTAGAAGTTTTAGTTTTATAGGTGTATCAGATTGGTCTGGAAGGATGTTGAATTGCGAGAAAGAAAGTCTGGATTCTGGTGTGAGTTGTGCCATTATTTGACCCCCATGACCTTGTGCAAGTGAGTTTCCCTCTCTGTTTTCTTTCCCCCCATCTGAAAATGAGAGAGGACAAAGGAACGGAACTACCCGATTAATCAGTATTCTGACGCGTCATCCCACGGTCTCACACTTTTTGCAGTGATAGATTTAACCATATGAAATTGCCGTTATTTGCCTATTTGAAAAGATTCATATTTGACCTATAGAAACAGTCATTTCATTTGGTTCAACATAATTGTTGAGTTCAGTTGCGGCCCTGTTGGGATTATCTGAGTTACTTATTTTAGGGATAGCTGAGGCCAAGTAAAATTAATGTCTCAGGTGTGAAGGAAACATACATTTAGAAAATATAATATTACCATATAATCAATGCAGACCTTTCTGGGCATTCGTAGAATCCAGTCTAGTCTTTCTCCATGATGCTGATTTTCTGGCCCAGTGATTCTAGGTGATTTGATTCTTACGTTTCTTTAGTGTCTGGCAAAGGAAAAGTCGACTTGAAAATTTTGTTAGGAGGTTCCTTGTAGTGATTTTTGTTGGGAAGTATCTGTGGCTATAGGAGAGGAGAGCATACTGATATCCAGGGTGTGAGGTAAATAATTCTTGAGTTGTCTTTTTCCCTGTTTTCCAATGAGTTAAGTCAAGGAGTTGTGAGGCCAAACTTTCCCAATTTCTAGTTTTAGACCAATTTTTTCATTCCATCCTACATCAGAAGGGAGCAGGGCTAAGCTTTCTTTGTTGTTTGATGCAACTCCTTAAGTTTTCCTTAACAGTTAAATAAACTCTTTTTTCCACTCTTTCCTAAGGCATTACCCTCATCTCTTTACCATGAAATAAATCCAACTTTTTGGTTTGTTTCCATTACCTAGTCTTTTGGGCATAAAGGTTAAGCAGCAGGAAGAAAGATACTCCAGAGAGAATATTAATAGCTTGCGGGGCGGGTGGTGCTCTTTTTGTCGCTTATATACCTTGTTCAAGTGTCTAAACCACATGCAGAGCTCCACTAGCAAACTGGCCCTGTCTCCCTCTTTCAGACACATGTGCGCATCAGCCTGGCTCCAGTCCACTGTCTGTCTAGGTCCAGCACCTCTGCAGGTATTACATTCTTCTGAGTCCTGCCACCTGACGTGAAGGGGCCAATGGTGGCATGCAGACATCTTTCAACGTACAGATCAAGGTTGATCTAGGCCCAACTCCTTTGCCGGAGATACTTATTTAAAAGTATTGTTTTTCTGGAGAAATCACGAACTAGTCCGTATTGAATCTGGGGTACAACTGTCTCTTTTCAAGAGACGTTCCAAATAACTCTTATTTTACTTTTTCCCTCTTGGGAAAAACAACTCTTGGGTGCTGGGCCCATGAGAACCAAGAATTTGAGAGGCATTGACTAAATCTAGAAAAATGTGGGCAATATGATGAGCAAAGCAGATGGTGGGGAGGCAAAATAAACACACTGGAAGAAATAGGATCCTTCCTCCTCTCATGTATCTCCTCAGTCTAACCACAGACCTCCACTACTGTCTCCATCACCTCCCCAAATTCCATAACCTCTTTTAAAAATATACTTACCAGAGTAAAGGATGCATTGTACAGTCTTGTTGATGCTCTTTGACATCATTAACCCACAAATCTGGGTCATTTTACTTCTGTGGCCCTAAACTTATTATAATGGCTATAAACACCTAGGTTTTTGTATTAGTTCATATAAAATAGTATTTATTTAATTGGATTCTTCTTCATCTCCCTTCTGTCTGATACTGTCTACTTTTGGGGTAGAGAGATTGTGTTAAAGCTTAGGATGCATGAAAATCCTACCTTTTTTTCTAGGCCTATTTCTATTTCTTAGAGTGGTAGGAGACTCAAGAGAAATGGGAGCTGGGATGTCTTGTATCTAGTGCATTTTGATTCTGAGTTATTTTGTTTCTTTTTTTCTAGAGATAAGAGACGTTCCATCCATTTCCAGTAGATGGAAAATTGTGAAAAGAATTTTCAAATAATCAGATTGTTTGCTCATGGAAGGTAGAGAAAGAGAAGAAATTGAATTGAATGATTCCTGAAACTTTTTATCCAGTATTTCCAGTTAGATAGTTTAGCCTGCCTAGTTCTAGTATAATCTTTTGAATGTAACTTAGATACTAGTTTTTGGAAATGTTCACTTCAGATCATTAGATCTGGGTTATACATTACCCAGAGGGGCACACAATGGGAGACAGTAATCAATCATAGTCGAGCTGACACCTATTGAGTGTTTACCAAGTGCCAGGCACCTTGGGTCTAAGGCCTTTGTATGCATTGCTTTGTTTCATTTCACTGCAATTTTAGGAGTTAGATAGTATTTATTTATTATATAGATGAGAAAAGTAAGGTTCAGACATGGGAGGTAATTCTCCTAGTGTCACTCAGCTTCTGAGTGACAGGATTGAACCAGAACTTAGATTTGATTCCAAAGGCTAATGAAGTAGGTATTAAATCCATTTTGCAAATTAGTGAATTAGAGATGTTAAGTAACCTGGCATGAAGTCACATAAATAGTAACTAACGATGGTGTCAGGATTTGAACTCATGTCTGCTTCTCTCTCAAACTCGTGGTTTTAACTATTTTAAATTCTAAGATATCACTGAGCATTACAGAATGCAGTAGAACACAACACATGGAGAATATTAGAATTTCAAAAAATAAAATTAGGTTGACTGCCATCATAAATCCCATTATTTATTTATTTATTTTTCTTAAAGATTGGCACCTGGGCTAACAACTGTTGCCAATCTTTTTTTTTCTGCTTTATCTCCCCAAACCCCCCCTGTACCTAGTTGTATATCTTAGTTTTAGGTCCTTCTAGTTGTGGGATGTGGGACACCGCCTCAACGTGGCCGCCTCAACGTGGCCGCCTCAACGTGGCCTGACGAGCCGCGCCCAGGATCTGAACCCTGGGCCTCCGCAGCGGAGCGTGCGAACTTAACCACTTGGCCATGGAGCCGGCCTCATATGAATTCTGTTATTAATCAGGCCTTAAAGATTAAGGTTTTTCTACCACATTGTTAGGCTAAGGGAGAAGACATCAACTAAGGGCCTAAATGGCAAGGGTAACTTGGCATGTGATGAATGAGACTCTCTGAGGGCAGAAAAGGGACTTTAAAAAAAAAATATGGTATCACTGAGAGATGCCTTTATTCATTTATTTACTGCATTTGGCTGCTGTGCTTCCAATCTCGGTTGCAATTCCCACATTGAGGCTGCTCCCACCCTTCCTGTGTCCCTTGAGCTGAGCAGGCACTTCCTGTCCTATTGGAAATGAAAGTTAGAGATTGAGGGTGTAGTGTGTGTGTATTTACTCTGCAGAACGTTAGTACTGTCTGTCCCATTATCGTAGGAAAAGGTGACAGGAAAACTAGAATACGGAGTGGGACTTCACTTAAGGAAGGATTTGGGCTTAATGTGTGTTGTGGCAAAGCAGACAGAGTTAGTTTATTTCTTAAGAGAATTCCATGATGGCAGCAAGGAGGCCTTAAGAAGAGATTTGAAGGCTTTCATTCTACATCCCTGTTCTCCTTGACTGGGTAGGAGTTACTGGGTATCATTCTTAAGTTTTTGGTTTCCTGCAAGTTTCTTTTCTTGTTAAGGCTGCTTCTACAGGACATTCCTTTGAAACTTTTAGAGGTGAGTGCTGTTGCAGCTGTGTGAGGTTCTTGACTAATTTGTGTTCTTCTTTCCTAAGAACTTTGTATTTTTCTTCTCTGTAAACATATGCTTTTTAAAAAATTGAGATCATAATAGTTTATAACATTGTGAAATTTCCGTTGTACATTATTATTTGTCAGTCATCCTGTAAATATTTGTGCCCCTTCACCCCTTATGCCCCCCAACTCCCTTCCCCCTGGTAACCACTAAACTCTTCTCTTTGTCTGTGTGTTTTTTTATCTTCCATATATAAGCATATGTTTTTTAAATAGTTATTTTTTTCTACAGCTCAGAGACTACTTGAAGCAAACATCCCAACTCTGTGAACTTCAATTTGGGCATAAATTCCAGGTTTGGTGAGTAATTCTGGTTGGTTCAGCTTCATGGACCTTGAAGATTAGGAAATCGTGGGGTAAAGAGTCAAGATAGCTTACAATTGTTGAAGAAACCGCTAGGCAATTATATCTCAATAAAGCTGGGGGTGGGGGCAGTGGGAAAGGAAACCACTAGGCACCAAGTTTCATGACGTACTCCAGTTTGACACTTACTTCTTGAGTATGAAGTCACACCTGGAGGAATGGGGAAGAGTGAGAGGCATCAGCCATCAGCATGATCCGAGAGGAATAGAACTGTGAGGGATCTGAAACTCTGTCCCCCATAGTCTGTTTTGCTTATCTCCGTTCTTTGGAGAGCTCTTGTTTGTTGTTTCTTCATGCATTAAGATCACTGTAAATATAAAAGGTGCGTGGTGGGGAGAGTCCTCAGCTCATCTCACATGTTCTGTCTCAGTGGTTTTTTTTCCACGTGTTCCCAGTGTCCCAGTGGTCCCTTTAAGTCAAGCTTGAAATCTTCTTCGTATAGCTGAGGTCTAAGAGAAAAAAATCCTCATTGTCTTTTTACTGAGAATTAGAAGTTGTTCATAGAGGAAAGGGGATGGAGTTGAAAGGGGTAGACTTAAGAACTTTTCTTTCTGCTTTAGCTACTAGGCCTGTGAAAAATAAAAAAGATAACATCATGGGCATTAGGACCCAGTGGAAGTGCCTCATTCAGACTCTGGGTTAACTTCTCTCAGTGACGTAAATGGGCAGCCCTAGTTCATTCTACCCGCCCCCCATCTCTCTCCCTCTTGCTCCTTCTCTCCCCCTTTCTCCTCCCCCTCCCTTCCCCCTCTCCCCTCTCCCTCTCTCTCTTTTTCTCTCCTCTCTTTCCTCTCCCTCTTCCCCCTCCCCTTCCCTCTCCTTCTCTCTCTCAGTTCCCTAACATTTAAGAGAAAATGCTGCTATCAGTGACTTCCAGGCCTGGGATTTCGACTTTTGGCTATAACAAGAACAACAAGAAGGTATGGAAAAGTGCTTTTTTGGAATCCAGCTACTTCCTTTTCTGGGGATCCGGGAGTGCCCTTGGCTTTAACATTCTCCTTAAGAGGGGAATGGGATTCCTCTCTCTCAGAGCCTCTCTCTGTTCCACTTCCCCCGCTTCTTTCAGCATCTTTTCTCACCTGGTTCTGAAGTTTCAGGAATTTACAGGCCCTGTTTGTGAGGCCTGAGAAGGCAGGGAAATTAAAAACAAATCAGGCTGCAAGTTTGTATCTTTGTGAAATGAAGTTAGTTTGACTTCCTGCTGATAGACTCAATCTCCAGAGGGATAATATGTCATCTCAGACCCTGGCTCCCAGCCCACCCCTCCAAGGTTATGTTCTCTTTTTGATTAACTGTTTCCATTCTCCCCCACTCCGCCTTCCTTCCTACCCATTCCACCTGTATTATCAGGTAGCTGAAATATGGTCAGTGAAATCACAACAGCTTCAAGAACTGGGTAAACTCTTCTAGACTGGATAGAGACCTTGTCCCCCGCAGCCTGCAGGGAAGGAGTCTTAAGAGAACACATACCTTGGGATTCAGGCAGAAAGGTCTGTGACTCTGGGTTCTGCCGCTGAGCTGGTGCTTCAAGCTCTGCAGACAGCCAGGCTCAGCAGGGGTCCTTGGAGTCTGTGATTAACCCACAGCTGCCACAGAGCTGTGCTGTGCTTGGGCAGTGGGCAGTCTGGGGGCCGAGGACGCTCGGACACTCGGACACTCGTGCCTACATTTGCCGGGGAATGTCCTTGGCAGTTTCTTGGCATTTGAGGGTACACAGTGCTGCTTAGGAGGAACTTCATGCTGTAGCAGAAAGACCCCTCACCCTCTCACTTGGTGTTGTCGCTGTTCTTTGAAGAAAAGAGGTGCCGTAGACATTTAGGGATCTTGTGCTCATCTGATGGAGTATTGGGGGGTGGGGGAAGAATTGCCGCTGCTTTCTCATATGCCTGAAGAGACTATTACAGGTAGATTTAAAGTGTCTGATCAAGGCAGTGGGTAAGCGTTTAAACCCAAACACTTAGTGTTCATTTATGATTTTATATGGTATTCATTCTATGTCCTTAAGAAATATGAGTCCTTACGTATTTGTTGGTTATCAATAATATATATATATTACGTATATATATACATAACATATATATGGAAATACAATTTTGATAGATGGATATTTCATCTGTCTTTATTCTTTTCAAATCTTACATAGTATGATATGAAAGTTTCCTTTCTAATTTTTTCTCTCCAGGTCTCTCAGGTTACCCAGACTCATTAAAATAAAGCAAAATGAATTCTAGAAATTAGTTTTTTTCCTATTAGGGATTTCATGTATTTGATGCTATCTAAAATCTTTTGTTAGCTCCCCACTCCCTTTCTCTGATTCGTAGTTTAGGAAACATTTAACCAGATTCCAAATCTAGGATAGTCGAAGGGACAAGAGGTATGACTGTGGATTTGGATTCAAAACTCGTATCTCTTCCTGATGATTTGTAAGGTTTGAGAAGCAATTCAGGAAACATGCAGGAGGGTGGATACATACTTACTAATGTAGTTGTCAAGAATTGTTTGGGTTCTTACAGGTCACTGTTATGATGACATCACTTTGTGGCTATACTCGATTCCCTGTATGTCTGTACAGCTTTGTGAATATTGGGTCTGTTTAAACTACAGCATTACTGCATTGCTGTCTGTCTTTGTGTTGACATGTAGGGCTTAATATGTTCATTTCTCTTTTGGGAAGAGTATTTGGATGTGTTTGCTCATGTAATTTGTGCATTTTTACACCCAGGATTAAATTTTTAAAGTAACTTTTATTAGTTTTTAGTAGTAAATGTAAGACATGCCCATTTTTAAAAAATTACACATAAATAGGTATGTAAAATAAAAAGTCAGATCTTCCCTTCACGTCCTGTTCTTTACCCAAATCCCGCCCTTCCAGGAAAAAAAATTGGTAGCAGTTTGATATATGTATCCTACCAGACATTTTTCTATGACAAGGTAAAGTTTTAATTTTGACATTGGCTTATTTGCCCTCTCTATTAAGAACTCAAGTTTTTCAAGTAGACGAAGTGTTATGTAATAAAGTTCTTGGACCTGTCCAAAACATTTAAAAAACTGAAATAAAGAACAATCAAATTCTCATCTTCTGAAAAGTACATTATAAATATCTGCTTTTATTGTCCATTGTTGTGTTATACAAAAATCCAGAAATAATAGATTTGTAGAGATCTGCTTTTTTTGTTGTTGATAAAGAAGATGGCCCTGAGCTAACATCTGTTGCCAATGTTCCTCTTTTTGCTTGAGGAAGATTGTCGCTGAGCTAATACCTGTGCCAGTCATCCTCTATTTTGTATGTGGGACACTGCCACAGCATGGCTTGATGAGCCATGTCTAGGTCTGTGCCCAGGATCCAAACCTGCGCACCCTGGGCCACAGAAGTGGAGTGCACGAACTTAACCACTACACCACTGGACTGGCCCTTAGATCTGCTTTTTTTTAAGGAGAATTTTTACGTCGTAATTTACTGTAGTCGTCACTTCTAGTTTGTGGAATGAGAATAATTGCCAGTGAGCTCAGTTTGAAAAGCTGTTTGTACACCAATGTTGTGACTTGCTTGTTTGAGGATTGTTTTATTTTGAAAGATATTTGTCTACTTCACTTATCAGGGAAGTTGTTGCCTGAGGAGCCCATGACAGTCATAGTTTTCTTGTTCTTTTTTGGCTGTGGTAAATGTAGGAATATAATCAACAAACCTATAATGCCTGATAAAGGCAGATTGTTCCTCAGGATGTGGTGTTGAATATCTATTCCTTTCTTTGGAATTAAAATAGTCACAAAGGGGGAAATGTGGATTTCAAAGAGAGATTCTGCAAAATAACGTGGTACTTTTTTAAGAAAAACATCTCTTTTAATGGCCTTTGGTTACTCTTGGTTCATTAAAAAAAAAGACAAATAAAAAGATCAGAGTTCTAGGGTCTCAACACTGTTTCTTCAGGGTTTGAGAGTTGCCTCAGTAGAGAGAGATTTGAGTATAGGTGAGATCTAAAGAGGAAATGTTTGGAACTAAAGGAATTTCTGACTTGCGAAGGGCCTAACCACGCCTTCCCTGACATCATCTTCCTAGCATGTGTTATTATAATTTAACTCCTCAGAGCACCAACAACCATTTCCTTTGGAAAGAAAGAAAAGGGACTGCGTTTAACTTGGGATAATTTGCCTTCCCCAACCTGTTTTGCATGAATTTCTATTTCCTCTTGGTCTTAACATGTTGAACACCAGTGGGGGTTGGGAGGCAATGATGAGACGAAAACTGACTGGTGGGCATTGCCAGATCTTCACTTTTTCAGAAGAAAGTGGGAAGCAATACTATAATTGTACCTCTAACAGAGAGAGAGAATTTTTGTGTGTTTACTACATTTTCATCTAGTTTCCATCAAATCAAATTTGGTGGAACTGAAGACTAAGAACTTTCAGGTTTAACATCTCTTTACTGGAGGCAGCTATTGGTTCTGTCATCAGTACTAAAGTTAACTTGGTTAAAGTTTAGTGGTAATATCTTTCCATTGATCTCTCCTTTCCCTTTTTAACACCACTACACTAATTTATGCCCTCATTACCAATTACTACTATAATAAACATCCCACATGATCTCCTTGCATCCTATTTCTCCACCCCCTACCCTTTCCCCACGGGTAATTTTTTATCTGCTGCCAGAACAATCTTCCCACATTCCAGCAGTCTAGTACTGAGCGTTTCTTGTATAAAACCTTAAAAAAAAATTTTTTTTTAAATTTGTATGTGTGAGGAAAATTGGTTCTGAGCTAACATCTGTTGCCAATCTTCCTCTTTTTGCATAAAAACCTTTAATGGCTCTATATTACCTGCTAAACAAAGTCCAAATCCCGAGCCCAGTACCCACTATTTCTCCAGCCCTTCCTTATCTTCCTCACGGCCCCCCATGATTCCATTATGTTCACTCTGCTGCAGCCAGGAGTCTTACCTAC